AACTAATTGTGGTAAGATCATATCCTTCCAGGGGTGGACAAGTGTCATTCTCTTCAAAGCTGGTGTTCTCTTTACTTTTTCCTGTGGCACTTTTCCCTGCTCCCATGAAGTGTTTGCTTTCAGACCTACTTTCAGGACTGTCAAATGAGAAGTGACTGTTTTGATCACCTCATTTAATCCCACACATATCATGGCTCATCAGATTACAAAATCCTACTATTATGGAAATGGATTCTTCTTCAGTGATGGAGAAATCAGTACACCTCTGGCTCAAAAGTTCAGGAATAACTGAAAAGATGTAGCTGTCTCATTAGACTGAATATAGCATTCATACTGCATAGAATCAATTGCTACAATGCAGAAAAAGGAACAGAGAATTAGGCTGACATCCCTTTGGATAAAAGTATGGAAAAATATTAACCTAGAGGCTAGAAACGAGATAGGCATTCAAATAGTCTCTAATGCCAAAAGTGGTGTAGCAGCGCAGATGTACAGTAGTTGAGCAATGGATGTAATAAAGTAACTATAATGGTTTTTATGCCTCATCTTGCAGGCAAATTTACTCTTCAGGACAACAGGGGCTGAGCAGGTACACAAATGAGAAGGCATGCACACAATGCCATCCCAGTCCCACCCTGCTTCAGCCAGTGTTTCTCATCCTAACTCTGTTAGAAATACATCACTGCAATCCTCCCCTGTGCCCCTCATTCTGGACTTAATGCATGAAGATTCAGGTTAAATGGGCCCGCGTGGGGTGAATTTTCACTTGATGCATCTCCCAGACTCTGTTCTCCATCACTCTGTTCTATCTAACAAGGCTGACTGAGAAACGTCAATGATCTGGGTTTAAGGGACCTTAAACCTCCCTGCCACAGGCAGGGATGCCATTCACTAGATCATGTTGCTCAGGGCCCCATCCAATCTGGCCTTGCATTGCCAGGGATGGGACATCCAATACTTCTTTGGGATTTCTAGCTTCCTGGAAAGCAGCAGAATTAAAAAAAAATAAAAAATTCTACTCTAAGTCTCAGCTGCCTGAAGTCAGCCTAAACTCCTTTTTAACAACTGAGCTACTTCGGAATCCCTCCTCTCCTCACACTATTTGAAATGTTTAGATTCTTAATTCAATACCAGCCAGGAACAGGAAATGTTAATAATTATCCCAATTTTCAATCACTATAACTGATTTTTCAAAGTAGCACGTTCACAAATTTCCTCCCTTTATGTGACTAGAAGCTGAAGAGTGAAACTCCACATAGGCAAACACCAAAGCAGCTCTGAAGCCCTTCACAGCAGCTTAGGAAAACAAAAAAACTGAGCTGCATCCCTTGTTCTGATGTCACACCTTGTGCTCATCCAGAGTCAGAGCACACAGCTGAGGTCACTGCTCTCTTGTGCAGTTCGTTAGGGTGAATGTTTGTAATAATCACTTGAAACTGGCACAGAGCTCCCAGGAAACTGTGAGGGAACAGAAGCTTTAACAAATGGGAACAATCAATATACAGAAAGAAAGGCTAGTCCTGACAAGGATTTACAGGAGCATCTCACAAAGAAACCCTGGAGCCACACACAGCCTGAAAGCCAGTGCAGATGCACAGCAGCTCTGCCCAGCTCTGACTCCAGTGCTGGCTCCTTATGGAGCACAGTGTGTTTCTGTGGAGCATGCTCTGTAGGATGTGGGGATGCCTTCAGGCACATGACTCCAGTGCTGGCTCCTTATGGAGCACAGTGTGTTTCTGTGGAGCAGAAACTACAGAAGCAGCAAATACAGTTCCAGAAAAGCTTCAGACCATACCCTTCCTCTCCCTCCGTAAATCCCTCTTTACTGAAGGACACGGGTGACACAGACACTCAGGGTGCACAGTGACAACAAAGAGATTGTGTGGTTCCACGCAGCTGGATCAAGTGGCTGTACTTAAACACCTTCCAGCTGCTTCAGAAAAGGGCACAGTGCAGCAGCCCAAGAGCTGCTACCCTTTAAATAGCTTCCCTCTGACCTCTGAGGATTGACACTGTATTTCACCAGGGTCTGCCAAGTGTTAAGGCATACTGCCATGTTATCCCACACAAACACAGAAAGGATTAAGGAACAGTCAGTGACAATTAGTAATATTTATCTTTTCCACTCTTTCACATTCTTCATATTCTACACTTTTATTCAGGTTTCTGTAGGGTTATCTCCCTCTTTTGCTTTTTTTTTTTTTTTTTCTGTAGGGTTATCTCCCTCCCTGCATAATGTTCCACCAATATTTTTTTAATTTCTGATTTGGCCTTACAATTTACTTTTCTTTGTCATTTTGTCCCCACTTTCATAATTGTCTGTAATGCATATTTAAAATGTTAAAAGCATACAAAAGGGTTTTTAGAAAACAGGACAATAAGGATCAAAGTTTCCTTAACATATCAGATGAGTAGCCCAGCCTCCCCTATCTATCACCATGTAAATCATGACAGGTAAATGTGGCAGTCTGCTCAAATGCCATGTTCAAATCTCCCAATTTAGATTCTTTATGGTGGATCATTTCAATGTAGAATTGAGAGACATAAAATGCAAGAGCTGTATGTATTTTCTATAACTCTTAGAGTGTCTTCTACCTCTGCAATATCTGAACACAAACCTGATTCTTGCTCAGGGCAGTAATCCCACGGGATTAAGTCATACTGTAAATACCAGACAAATTACAATCGGATTAGATAGGCAGTCTGTTCATTTACTCAACACAGCTGTACTCCAGAGTCTTTTCACCACTGGTGTCTATTTATAACATGAATGTATTTTTCTTAAATAAATGAACATAATTTAAATTTCATATCTCTCTTGTTCTTACCATTTGTGGCCTATAAGGAACACATTTCTACTCCCTAAGGAGCAAAGACAGTGCTCCTTGAGAGGACAACAAAGCTGCACTTGGTACAGATCTGCAGGGCAAGATTTAGTTTAAATTTATCAGTGAAAACTCCTTTGAAAGTTTTGCAAACAATTTCAGTCAAGTAGAATATAGCAAACATATTCTGGAGATAGGTATGAGACAGCAGCACAGATGTGCTGAAATTTCCCAGGATTTGCAATATTCATGGCAGGAATTTCTCCAAACTTGCAGGTTCCAAACTTGCTTACACTGGTGAGAGTACAAACCTCACTGAGTAGAGCTAGTGTAACATGGGATTTACAGGGGATTTCTGCTCATTTATGAATAAGAAGCCTATTTAATAATGTTTGGTATTACCTGCCAAAATCTCCCTAGCATTTAACTGAAATTATTTATAAATGTCACATCACATCCCTCATAATTGTTCCCAATTACAAGAATCATCTTGCCTTTTAGATACAAACTTGCAGACAAATCCGGTGTTACTGTAGTTTTACTACTGCAATCAATTAATGAAACCCTACTGAATCATGGAGCTGAGACTTTCATAAAACAGGATTAATGACTGCAGGCCATGAAAATACTAAAGGCAAATAAACAAACTGCTCCACCAACTAGTACCCTCAGCATCTTGCTAACTCCATTCTCACCTTCACCTTCTGACCGAGTTATTATTCCTGATGTGCACAGAGATAAATAAGAATAACACTGAGGCTGGAGAAGTGGAGCCAGGGAGTCAGGAGGGATGAGTTGTAGGCCAGCCTAACCAATTGCCACCAAACTTCTCCATTCTTACAGACTGGCATGTCCTCACTCAGCTGCAGAGGTGCCAGGCAGACACCTCTGCCCGTGGAAACCCAGAGGGGTGTCCTGCTGAGCACCCTGAGCATGCCCCAAAGTGCTGTGACCACACTGCAATGGGAGACATAACAGAGTGGCACAAACACAACCAGAAACACAGCATTGAGTTCACTTCCCTTCCACAGTGATACAGTAGCCTGGAAACCAGAACACTCTCTTTTATCAGGTGTAAACCAGTGCAGTTTATCATACACAGAGCTGTCAATAGCTATAATATAGTACCTACACAAACATGAGATCAGCTGCTCTCCAAAGACAGCTTTTTCATTAGGCAGGAGTCAACAATTCAAAGTCATAAATGGATTTTACTGGAGTGGAGGAGAAATCATCCCAAGTCTGCTTTGCATTGAGAGAGGAGGTGTTAGAAAGACCTTCCACTGCAGGACACCCACTGAACAGGAACATTTTTGCAACAGAAATACTGGTGCCTGGTTCTGCTTTCACACATGTGACTCCAGTTGATTTCAAAAGGCGTTTCCATATTTCGCTAGCTCAGAAGTACATGCTGTACATGGTGGAAACCTGAATGCATACGGAACATTGATTTTATGACACAGCATATGACAAGTGAATATTGGCTTAAGGTTTTCCTGCACAGCCTCCTTCTGTTCATTTCTTCCTGTGTGGGTTTATAGGTTATGTGCATTATAGGTCATGCTGGTTTTCAGATCAATTCACAGCACAACCTTCCAACCAGTGACACCAGTCCAGCTGAAAGATATTCCATGGCACAGCATGGAAGGAGAGGAATGGTTTACAGAGAATCACAGAATCATTCAGCTTGGAAAAGTCCTCCAACATCATCAGCCTTAACCTTTTCCTCAGGCTTAACCAAGGTTAAGCTGGTACCTTTGGTTGTCATTGTATTTTCCAGGATTTCTGGCCAAGTTAATGGCAATCAGCAGATCTCTGCAAATAACCCTCAACAGCTACTGTATGGTTATGTTGTTACAAGCTGCTTAGCATCCATCAAGAAAGGATCCCAACTCACCTGGAACCTTTACCGCTGCAGAAAAATTAATGAGAACTGACTCTTTGCAAGACCAAGCTGTGAATTGTACTTCTAAGCACAGTATGAATACTCAAAAACCTTAGAAATATAACAATATGAAGACTAAAGCAATAATAATTTTTCTTTTCATTACAGGAAATTTCTATAAGGCATTCAGAATTCTGTTATTTAATTTTTGCAAGCATTTGATTTCACAGCAAAGTACAGTAGCAGGTATTATTATACAAAGATGAGGAAAAATTATGTCAAGGACTTACTTTCTGCAGGTTCCTTAGATCTTCTACCACTGGAGGATTTCCTCAGGAGACTTCTTCCTGAGGTGAAGAGGCTGGTTAGCTCCTCCAGAGGACTGGTGGGTGTGCGAGAGCGGGAACTGCTCTGCGAGGATGACCCGTAGGTGCTGACTGACACACTGACCATCTTCCCTCCTTCTTGCAATGTGTTTCTGGCAGTAGAATGAGGCACTGATGGAGAGCTTCTTGAGAGACTTCCTGAATGTACAGAGTCATAAGGTGGAGGTCTTTTGAGGCTTAAGGGGGTAAGAGACCTACCCATACTGACAGGAGAAGGTGAGGCAGAGTGACTTTTAGGATAACCGTGTGGAGACTGCGTTCTGTATAAGGTAGAAGGATGAGGAGGTGAGGAGGTGTGCCCAGGGGTGCTAGTTCCATGAGATACTGTCTGGTCTTTCTCCAGTTTTTGATGGCCTGGTGTATGAGGTGGCAGTGAAGATGGAGAAGCTCCAGCTTGTTGTTTGATGTAAGACACATTTTCTAGGACGGGAAGCTTTGTGACCTCTAGTGGAGTTAGAGGAGACTCGTCAGAATTGGGGGAACACTGCACTGGTGCTGGTGGGAACACCAGCAGTGGAGGTCTGTGAGAAAGAAGGTTTGGAAATGGTGGGGGTATGTCACAAAGCAAGCCCTTGGGAGTAGATGGCACTGGAGACTTGGTGAAATCTAGGTCAGGCACTGTGGGAGTAGCACACTGAGAAGAACAAGTGTGATGGTCATATTCACATTGACATTTTGAGTCTTGGCCTACGTCATCAAATATAGGGTATTTCATCTCCTCATAGACCGCTTCGCTTTGGTCATCCTCATCTTTTTTGAAGTCTCTGAGAATATTCCCAACCATTTCAATATAAACAGGCTCTTCTTCCTCTGTGTCTGGAGCAGGGCTGCTGACCTGCGAGAGTGAGGCATCCCTAGTGAGGCTTGTCTTCATAGGGCCATGCTTTTTGATATATGTTTCATCAAAAGATGTGCTTAGCTGAGTGTTTGGGTTTCGTTTCGGCTTAGGAGGTGGAATCTTCTTTGTGTACTCATCACTGTGAGGTCTTGGTTTGGCTGACACTGAAAACAGAACAGAACACAAACTCATCAGAAGCCTGTAACACACCTTGTCAACTCAATAGGGTCTCTGTTAGAGTGCCATAATTCTGGAATGGATTTCCTGGGACCAGCTTGTTGCTGGTTATCTCTGGTATTACGTCAATAGAACACCACAAAAATAACATTCAATTCAAAACACTCCTAGATTTCCCCCAGAATGCTCTGACACTCCAGGATTAAGTAACTAGTGAGCACTTCCCTTCCTCCGAGACATCTGTTCTTTCCCAAACTCTTTGGGACAGGAGACTTTCCATTTTTAAATATTATGATTTTCAAATATCACTGTGGGATTTTAAAGACCCAAAGAGTTGCCAACGACATACAACTAAATATAAAAATGAACTCCTTTTGGCTCCAAGAGAACAGTTAAGGTCCTGAACAGTCACATTGGAATGACAGTGAGGTAACTCTGAAGTGACAAAGTGATGAATCAAGACCTTTTTATTTATAGTAACTTCTTACATAAAGCACAACAATTGTCTCAGCACTAAAACAGAAGGAAAATACTCATACACAAATCGTAAAATCTGCTGTTGAGATAATTCTAGTGATTTATCTGGACTCTATTATATTGTTAGAAATCTCATGAATCTCTTAATGAGATTTCTGTGGAGTCAAGGAATAACAAAGTATCTCACAGATTTGGATCCTTTCTACATTGGTTACTTTTAGAAACCTTGTCTTTGAAATTATAAAACAAAACATTGTGATAAAATTCATTTGAAATGAGAGGTTAAGGGTTTCTTGGAAATTATCCTTTATGAATTAAACAATAAGAAAACTCATGCAAACTGCATTTTGTTCACTTTGCATGCAGAGCTAATAAAACATCTCATTAAATGTTAGGGTTAATAAAATGCCTCATTAAATGTTTAAGTGAAGTCAGCTTTTATCCTAAGCAGACTCAACAAACTTGTTCAGAAACAAAATTTATCACATACACTAAATCTAGCTTATGTTTCTAGGAGTTAACTGATACCTCACTGGTAAGTTCCCCAGTTCAAAAAAACAAACAAACACAGAGAACTAAACTAGTGGCCAGGTTAGAATGGTAGCTTTCCTGCCTTTCCAAATTTTGTTGCTCCTTGTAATTCACTACTGCATATCTGCTAGTTTGAACTCAATAGTCAGGGAAACCTTCTGCTGACCCATCAGCAAACAGCCAGCAAATCTCTGATGCTGAACCAGGCAGGCAGCACTCACAGAGTCGAAATCTCTCTTTTAGAAACAGCCATGAACATATTCCTGAAGCCAGCAGTGAGGCAGTGCTCTGCCAGCTCAAAGACAGCATTTTGAGTCTGGGAGGATGCTGGCTCAGAGCTGGATTAAAGCACCTGCATTAAAGCACCTCACTAATGTGGTTTGGTCACTATCAGAGGAGGACTCAAACAGTGTTATCACTTTGTCACACTCATGCTTTGATCTGCTAAATAACTTCTGTTCAATTCCCACAAGGTGTAGCAGTAAAGGCAGATGATAAACAAGTTTTGCTCAGGAATAAGGAGCTGTGAATGTGTACATGTACAAAGTAATGAGACTAGTCTTTGTTAGTAGCATTTGTTTTAGCTTAACACACAACTAAGGTACAACAAAGCAAAAAGGAAAAGAAATCTTGCCAGAATTAAAAGGAACAAAAAAGACTCAAAAAATTATATTATACTTTCATGATGATTCCAATTAATGTGTTCCACTTTGCAGCAGGCTAGGGACATGCAAAAGCTACCACAGATAGGAGTGTTTGGTAGCTTGATAGTTTTTCAGTATGTGGATATATCCTAATGCATTTTAAATTTGTCTTTTTAATTAACCCAAATTAATTTTCTTGAATGTATTAGACTAGACATTTGGGAATAAGATGTAGGCTACCAGAATCATTTGGGCTTTGCAGAAAATATTACTTGTGATGCATTTGACAATACTGGCAGATTTTTCTTGCCTACTTCCAGATAAATCACTATTTCATTTCTGTTTAGTGTCTTATTTGTATATTATGTTTTTATATATTCTACTAGCATAAACTTGATCTCAGTCCTCTCTCCAGCCTCTGTTAATCTGATTTACAACCCTGTCAAAAGCAATCTTATTCAGATAGCTGTCATTAAAATGAAGAGACAGTCAATGAAACTGGCACAAACTGCCTGATCATTTGTGAACATGTTGTACATGACCTGAACTCTACTTCAGCTACATTTGAAAATCCTGTATTTTGTAAACACGGGCTTCTCACATTCTTCAGTTCCTGTGCATCACACTGCCATCACTAATGGATACCTGAGAAAGGAACATTTCCTGCTCCCCTGCTTCCTCAGATCCCTGTTCCCAGTGCTGCCTTTTACATCTTCTGTGCCACAGGTATCACGCTGAGATTGGCTCTTTCTTACAGCCACAACCCTTCTCTTTGATGTCTTTATTGGGATGGATGTTAATGATCACAAAATAATCAAAAGCTGAGTTACTCTTGTGCTGTGGTCATTCAAGGCTAATGTTAACTGATATTTTTTTCTAAAACCAGCCAAAAGTGGTCAAAAGTACTGTGTTTTTAAATTGCTATTTAAAAAAGCATATTCTCCTCTTCCCTCATTCCATTTTCACAATTTTATCCAGCTGAAGAGGTTCTACTACACTGCCTAAACCTGTCCTTGGCTGCTGGAGTTCCTATATACAACATCCACAGGTTATTACATTACAAACGAGGAAAGGAGAAATGTCAAGGAAAAACGATTGACATTCTGCCATCCAGCCTTGTATTTTTGCATGGGTTGAAATTAAGTACCACAATGACACACAGAGCCTCATCTGCCATTGCATGATATGTAGCACTAGCCTAGAATATATTGGTGACATTATCAACAAAAAGGTCAAATGACCCAGTTCTGCTGTTTGAGACAGGGTAAAACATGACAAGGTGATTTACTTTCCATTTGCTATATAAAGCCTTTTTCCTCTGCTGTAGTTTATTTTACTAAACCATCTATTTCCAGGAGGTTGTGTGTTACTGAGATATTTTTCCCTTCATGAAAAATTGGACTTTTCAAACTAAAATTTTAAACTAAATTGTTTAAAATTTTACAAACCTTAAAACTTACCTCCTTTATGCTCCTCAGGGCAATACACAGGTAAATGGATAGAATTAATAATAAAGAAAACTTTTTATTGTTACTAGGAACAGAGGAATTGTTCACATCCACTAGAAACTCCCTCAGGTGCAGGAGGACACCTGAATTATCTTTGAAGCATACTGAATTATCTTTAGGAAGGCTGTGGTGCAAGACACTTAAATTTATTTAACAATGGTTTCTACTCTGACACACAGCTCCCTGGCAAGGGCTGAACTCCACAGCACACCTGTTAATGGAATATGAATCATGAACTACTGCTCCAGCCCAGAACAACAGAGAAAAATAAGAGGAATTCTGCAGCCAAACAGAGCTGTGCAAAGCCAATGAAAGGAGCAGAGAGTGTTTGTGCAGTTCTGGTGTTACCAACATTTGGCAGGGATAGATGTGCATGAATGCAGAAGTCCTGGCAAGATCCCAAACCCAATGAAAAGAAATTATTTGGCAATCTCCAGAGAGGAACAGGCAAGATTGCTTAAAGTACTTGACATTTATCAGGCAGAAAAAGCACTGGTGCCTGCTGGGATCATAAACTCCTATGAAAAGTGAACTGCGCTGGCATATTGGAGATACACATACTGCCACGTTGTCTGCTCTAAACATGGAGTAATTAAGTGCTTTCCAACATGAATTACTATGTCCTTGATTAAACTGCTGCCTGTAACTTGTGTTGAGACTCTGCCACTCGTATGCATCAGACACGAGTCCTGATCCAAAGCTAAGTGGCAGAAATGAAAGTAAGAATTGTTTCTTTCCCCACCAGCGGCAGCTTTCCTCAAACATCCATCTCAGAGTGCACCACAAGCCTCTTGTGAGTGCTTCTGTTACAGACACACAGGCACAAGAGAGGCCTGTGGGGAGGTGGAGCACAAGGGAGGTGCTCAGGGGATGATGCTCAGCGCTGCCCCATGGCCCTCTGTCCCCACAGGAGCTGCCCTGGGGGCTCAGGATGCTGTGCCAGCACCCCCTTGTTTGCATCAGAGCCACCCAAACTGCCACTGCTAACCTGGAGGCACAGTGATCCTTGCAAACGAGACTGAACTCCTGAGTTCCTGCTGCTTGAGCAGGAACTCTCTGTGTTCAGTGGGGCACTCCTTCCAAGCAGCTATCTGGCTCTAACTTTAAGAGAAACAAGAGCTGCAGCTCTGGTAACTCCAGGTCTCATCTCAAAGCCAGAAGCACAGTGCTTAAAATAGCCTCATGGAAGCCCTGCTGTATAAGGAGGATATGACATTTTTGAAATGAGATATTTGTAGTGCAAAGGTTATGCATAGCTTTCAGACATACCCAGATAATCTCCCTTTCATAGCTAATTTTGGAAATAGAGAATGTTTCTCATATTATCCTTCTGAAGTATATTTTTATTCTTTAAGGAGAGACTGAAATATGAAAATATGTTATTAGATTATTGTTTATTATTTGCTCACTGTATAAGGAATGAGTGAAAACATCTAAAAATTAAAATTTATTTTTATATTTTATATTGTCTTTTGGGAATTTTCCAGCTTTTGCATTCCATAGACAAGTTCAGTGAATTTTTCTGTTCACTGTAACAAACAGACTAAAACCACAAACAGGAAAAGTGTTTCCTTTCAATTTATACAAGAGGCTATAGATCCAATGAAGGAATGATTTGGGGACTAAAAGTGCTTCTATTGGGTTAGATTTTGTTATCTCTGTAGATGAAATTCGAATAGTCTTAGTGAAACTGATTTTTAAAAGATACAGCCATCTGAACTGTGCAAAAGATTGGCACTCAGGAGACCTAAGTTTAAATCATCTCTTTTTACAGGCCATGAGGCCTCACCTATCATTTTACCTCCTAATGCCACCTTTCAATATTTC